GTCCTTTGTTATCTTTACCGTCAACAGGCTGCAGCCATGTGGAGACTGCAAACCATGCATGGATTTAGTACGGTTTTTGTTTGTTTGTTTTTTTTCATTAAAAAAATAAGAATAGAACTGACTGTCTGACCTTATTGTGTACAACAGTAAATTTATAAATATTTTTTTCCTTTTCATATACAGTATTACACAATCCTGCACCTTAATACTGTGTGGAGTCTTATTAAGCATTCATTCAACCTTCTCCCAGAGCTGAACTTAGACCTTCTGATTATAGCTCTATTTTGTATATTTCTTATCCGTGTTTGCCTATATATGCTACACAAGCTCTATGTTCACAGCAGAATTTAAATAAAAATCTATAAAAAAAAAATGGCTGAAAAATACAAACAACTTCAACTCTGTCCCACAACCTGGAGGGATTTTCTGCATTTGTAGATTGTTTTCTTTAGATCAAGATTTCTCTGTAAATTTTAGTCATTTATGAGAATCATTTATAGATTTAATGTTTAATTTTTGTCTTCATTGTTTGTTTATTTTCCATAGAGGATGAATATAATAGAAATTACTGTTGTAATTTGATAGGCCGGAGGTTTAACAGTCTACTGATTGGTAAATGAACAGAGAAATCTCTCAGTAATGTCTATAATTGGATGGTATAATGGCCGGCTACTTACATACATTCACTGCATTATTCCAAATACGGCTCTGAGTGCCGCAATTTACTTCCACAAAGTGAGCTACAGAGTGGATAATAACTTGAAATTTGATGCTTTTACCAGTTCATTCCTAAATATGACAGAATGAATGGCCAGAGATATTACTGCCTGCAATCTGATCTTAAAATAAAATAAGGAAGGGATTAGAATATAACCTGGGGCAGATCATAGGACGGTGTATAAGTTTATGATTTATTTTCTGGCTTCTTTCACTCAGTCCTGTTTTATCTCGTCTTTCTGGCTCACAGTAAAACGGCTTTTCAACCCCAAACCGCTTGTTTATAAGAAATAATCTGTTTCGAACTACAGTTTTTTTTAGGATCAAGTATTTTAAAATATTATCCTTCCATTATACTGGGCTGCATGTTTTTAATGTGGACTACATTTAATTTGCACAATATTAAAATGCACATGAATAGTAACATAAATAACTGTTAGAAGAGGCATTTAAAACTTAATGGTCTTACAGCCTCCACCTGTGGTTAACCGTGAATTACACTATTATAGAAAAGAATAAAAAGACACACATTTAGAAATATTAATCAACAACAAATGATTAAAATCAATTTATATAAAACAGGACATACAAAAAGAGAAAAATTGAAGTAAGAAACCCAGATTTTACCTGAGCTAAAATTTAAACAAAATTTCATAAAAATATATATACCTTTAAACTTATATTTGTATGTTTTTATCCATGTACAAAAATAGATGTGATTTCTCTGCAAATCCCAAATATAGATGATTAGATATAATGATGTGTATTGAAGTCTGTATGTAAAGTTCTGACTGTATATAAATGAGAGAAGATTCACAACAAATAAAAAGTTTTTTTTCAGAAATCTATTTGAACCCATTTTTGCAGTTGCCAGGCTGCAGCCAGGGCGTGTTGCCATTTTCTCAGTTATAGACCAACAGAAAAAAGGGGGGGACCTGCATTAAACGAAACCCCTTTATTATATATTCTAAGCTGCCCCCAACAGGTTTTCCTCCAGGATTTCCATGTATTTAAATACCAGCTTCCGAAACAGCTTTTCCACAGTATGATGCTGTCATAAATGTATGTACGGGAGAGGATTAGGACCACTGAAAAAAAATAAAAATTAACAGATTTTTACATATTATTTCAGCTTGATATGGGAAAAAAGACAGAATTCTGACTTGTTTTTCTCAGAATTTTGAATCTTAATGTAGATGGGCACCATGAAGGAAGAGACGTGGGAAAACTCAGCTTCACTGACAAAGATATGAGTTGTTTGGAAGGGCCAGAGGGGTCCCTGGTGATGCTATTTCATTAATAGAAGAGCCTACGCTGATTAAAAC